TTAATTGACTGTTTCTCCTCCAACGCTGCCCTAGAGATTGCTCCATGGGTGAATAATAATGAAACGCACTTAAAACTTTTTAATAGCTGCAGGCAGTATGGGAGAACCTGTTAACAAGTTCCACTCTTCCAGGAGCCAGGTCCCCGAGGACGTGGAGGAAACAAGACAGTCATTATCGGCAGCTCTGTCCTGATCATTGCTGTAATGAGATCTCACGGGTTCTGTTCTGCCGACTTCCGTGGAGAACTGCAGAAGTTGAAAATCCTTCTCTTGCCTGCTCTAGTTTTAAATATTACCCACTGGACTCATCTTCCAGCTCCCTTAGGATTTTCTACGGTTATCCAGAGGGATCACAGAAGTAAATGTAGCCATCTTTCTATTTTACCAGAAACCAGACATGACCTAAGAGAAACTACTTTTACCAATAGATCCAAGCACTTTTCATGCTTCAGTCTTTCCAATCTGTAATTCCAACTTTCCTTTCTCATCCCTTCCAGAACAAAAGCATCAGGGCAAACAAGTCCTTCATTCGGTGAATTAGTGTGGTGAATATACTTTCTTTTCATCCAAAGACAAGGCAAATAGGAAAACCAAATGACCCCAAATCCTACACTTTCTTCTTAACTATCTTAGATTTATTAATCTTAGGCTCCTATGAAGAATTGCAAAATATTTATAAATGTGTGTGTAAATATATATATAATCCGTTGCCAATTTTATCAACAGGGTTTGATCTGGTCTCTGTTCTACAAATAGTCTTTCTGCTTTGACTGCAAAGCATTTGTTTGCTATGAAAGAAGCAATAGTGTTTATTCTCTGCCAGATACCTGGGTGTTCTGTGGGTTAGAAAACTGGAAAACTAGAAGATTTCTGGATCACTGTGATCCTCCTGCTGCTCTGAATATTACCTATTGGCCTCATCTTCCAGGTCCCTCAAAATTTTCCCAGTTATCCTAAGGGAACCACACAAGTAAAAGCAGCCATCTTTCCATTTTACCAGGAAACAGAACTATTGCTATCAATAGATTCAAGTATTTCTTTTTTAAAAATGTTTATTTTTTTTGAAAGACACAGTTACAGAGACAGAGAGAGATTTTCTGTCTGCTGGTTCACTCCCCATATGGGCCATTTTCTGCTGCTTTCCTAGGCACATTAGCAGGGAGCTGGATCAGAAGTGGAGCAGCTGTATCTTGGAACCAGTGTCCATACATGTGTCAGCATTATCTGCTACGTCACAATGCTGGGCCAGATCCAAACATTTCTATGTCACATATCTATGTCATAGGCAAAACCAGACATGCATGTAATAGATTACTATAGTTTTTATGCTTTAAGGATGAGATGCAAAGATATATGATCTTTGTGAGATTAAGATGGTTTTGAGGCCAAACTTAAATAATTAGATTCAAGCTACATTATTTTTATTAACTTCCAAAATTTTGTTAAACTTTCTGAAATGTAACAGTAAGATAATCATGGTATAACCATCGTCATAGTTAAATGTTACAATTAGAAAATCTACTTCTCTCAAACTCCAGTTCTCTTGCATATTTAATGTAAACCACAGTATTTTAGAAATGGGAATGGCTGTAGCTGAAATTTTGAAATATTATTTTTCAAAAGTTTAATATATTTATATATTGAATATATAATTATATTTTTACATAGTATAATTTAACATAATTTCTGTTTTATATATTTAATGTAATATTGACACATTTGATTTATATATCTGAAATATTTGCTTGTAATACATATTTAATATATTTTATATAATTTATTTTATAATATATAAATATATTTTATATATTTATAAACATATTATATAAAATATATTTAAAATATATGTAATAATTTTAATGAATTATTTGATAATTTTAATGCATCATTTAATAAACTTAATATATGTTGGGTTAACCTCCATATCAATACACACACCCTGCATTCTTTTCTGTGGCTTCATGCTATTTGTAACTGTGCATTTACTTAACCATTACTCACTCAATGGACATTCAGTGTGGGTTTTTTTAATCCACTCTGTAACTGCTATGTACATAACTTTATGCATTAATGCACTTATTCCTAATAATGAATTCCTGGGAGCTGAACTAATGGGGAAAAGATTCCAAAATTTTAACACTGATTTGCATTCCCACACATAGTACGTAAGAATGCCATTCTCTTACAGCCTCATAGACTGAACATTACCAGGATGAGGAAAAATAATAACTCATTGTTGTGTTAGCTTATATTTATTTACACATAAGTTTGAAAAAGCGCCCATTTGTTTTGTCCAAGTAAGTGTAATCCTTATTTTCATTGGGAAAAGCTTTGATAACTAAAAATATTTTCTGTTTCAAATATGTTATAAATGTTTTCTCTGTTTTCCAAACCTATGAGCAGGATTTTTCTGGGAGATTATTGAGCCATTACAATTTATTCATTGGCAATAATAGTTGATTCTTATGTTCTCTTTTCCTTCATTCTTATTTTTATAAGAACTGTAGAATGACACAGCTTTAAGCTCTGATAACACATGTATGCTCCCCCTCTGAAAAGGGAGTTAAGTCAGGTGTGAGTTGTAAAGGGCATCAGTTGCTCCGACAGTTTGACTGCGAGTATTGACGTCCATGAGTATTCTTGACGTCCATGAGTATGCTTGATGACTGTTCACAAGCTGTGCACCTTCTTTTCTTCTGAGAGAGAGAGAGAGAGAGAGAGAGACTGATTTTCCACCCTCTGGTTCATCCCTCACATGCCCTCACCATCAGGGCGAGGCCAAGCTGAAACCAGGAGCAGAGAACGCAATTCTGGTCTCCCACGCAGGTGTCAGGAACCAGCCACTTGAGTCATCAGCTGTCTTCCGGGGTCTGCACTGGCAGAAAAGTGGAACTGGGCATGGAGTCAGGATTCCAGCCCAGGCACTCCAATGTGGGTGTGACTGTTTCAACTGACACTTTTAACTGGTAGGTCAAACCCCCACCCTACTCTTAACTTCACTGGTTTGAGACAAGGTCATCATTTTCAAGGTCATTGGGGGCCCACTGTACCTTCTTGGAAAGGTACTCAGTGTGATTTCCCTCTTCAAACATAATTTAAAGAATACAATCAGGGGCCGGGGCCAGGGCCAGTGCTGTGGCGCAGCCGGTTAACGCCCTGGCCTGAAGTGCCGGCATCCCATATAGGCGCCAGTTCTAGTCCAAGTTGCTCCTCTTCCAATCCAGCCCTCTGCTATGGCCTGCAATAGCAGTAGAAGATGGCCCAAGTCCCTGGGCCCCTGCACCCTTGTGGGAAACCCAGAAGAAGCTCCTGGCTCCTGGCTTCAGATCGGCGTAGCTCTAGCTGTTGTGTCCAATTGGGGAGTGAACCAGCAGATGGAAGACTCTCTCTCTCTGCCTCTCCTCTCTGTATAACTCTGACTTTCAAATAAATAAATAAATATTTTTAAAAAAGACTATAATCAAATGCCATTTACTACCTTCCAGTAGCTTTACCAACCCAAGTTGAAAATAAGGGTTATAAATCATGTGAGGAAGACAAAACTAGCATACTCTTTGGAATTAGCCTTTTGAAAATTGTATTAAAATATAATAGAATTAGACTTTACATTTCTTTCTTAGAAACTAAATCTCCTTTGAATGCAAGGATAACAAGGTGTCCAAAACCTGTGCTTATGTGCTGTGTGTTTCCAACCCAATACCAGGAATATTGTGCTATAAGAACGAAAGGTCAGATCTTAAAAATATGAACAGATGTGCTCCGGGACAGAAACTGAATGAGTTTTGATTCCCAATCATCTGATGCTACTCCAAGAGTTCCCCTAAGAACAGACAGCACTATTCTCTCCTGTGGCGCCAGCTAATTACCCAAAGGAACATACAATCCCCACAATGTCAACAGGAAAACATGTTATGCCAACTTCCAGGCGCCGTCTTTAATGAGAAGAAATTAGTTCTCTGTTTTGTGTGTGTGTGTGTGTGTGTTTCCAGCTGAGTCTATAAGACCTTCCAAATTTGCACTGTTATTTTCGGGGGTCAGCAGGAAGTCCTTTCCTTAGGCTTTCTGTTGACAGCTCCAAAAAGGTTCTTGGAATCTGCCCAGATGGCAGGTAGATCGAGGAAGGATGCTAGTGCCATTTCCTATTATAATTGCTTCTTTGTAATTTAACCACCCTATACCAAGTTCTCCATCTTACTTTTCTCTGAAGTGGTGCTGTGTCATTACCCTATGACCTCAACCAAATTAAGAGAAGGTAAAAGAACATGGTTTTTACTCTTTTACCTTCAAAAAGAAGCTAGAATCTGAGGCGTAGCATCAGGCTGGGTTGTCTGGTGCATTATTCTCCTAACCCTTACTTTCTACCTACGTTAACTGCACAATCCTTCAAAAACACCAGGTAACAAGCCAAACCAGAAGAAAACACGCTAATATTTGTTCATTCCTACATCCTTTGGTAAAGTTGACAACAGGTAAGCCTAAATGACTAAAGAAAATGTCTTCAATGTACAATATTTATGGGGTTAAAGTTTACTGCAAGAATTTCTTATTTATTTATTTATTTGACAGATAGAGTTAGACAGTGAGAGAGAGAGAGGAGAAAGGTCTTCCTTCTGTTGGTTCACCCCCCAAATGGCCGCCACGGCCAGAGCTACGCCGACCCGAAGCCAGGAGCCAGGTGCCTCCTCCTGGTCTCCCATGCAGGTGCAGGGGCTCAAGCACTTGGGCCATCCTCCACTGCCTTCCCAGGTCACAGCAGAGAGCTGGACTGGAAGAGGAGCAACCAGGACTAGAACCCCGCTGCCCATATGGGATGCCGGTGCCATAGGTGGAGGATTAACCAAGTGAGCCACGGCGCCGGCCCCTGCAAGAATTTCCATGTTGGAAGTTTTCACCAAAGATAAGCTTCTCATTTGAAAATCAAGTGTGACAAAAATTTAAATCCTTTTCTGCCTTTATTTTTTCCCAGTTTACTAAGTGAGTGATTATTACAAGTAGCCTTACTTCTCTGGATCACACAGCAATCTAGGTATTTTTAAATATCTGTTTGATAATTTTGGCCTTGTTATTGATGCTTACATTATCTAAGAACCCATCCAATGGAAGTGTGAGTTGTGTTACCACCTGCACCAGCCATCTGCTGGTTACACATTGTATCCCTGCTGTGATTTCAGTTTCATCCTAGTACTGTTTACTCCAGCTACTACAGTGTCTTTTATGAATCCATCTCTCCTTATTTTCATTAGCCATCTTAGAGTCAATCTTTTTTTAATTTACTTTTTAAAATTCTTTTTAAAATCCATCTTTATTTACCACATCCTCCTTCTCTTTAAAAAAGTCTCCATTTCTCCCACTGCCACTCACCTGTCTTCAGCAAGCTAATCACACTAACAGGAGATAAACATATCCAGAGTTCCCGTTTTATTACTGGACTGAATATCCATCCTTGTCCTTAGCAATGAGGTCTCCAGATTCTATTACTCAAAGAGAAATGAATGGGGGAGGCCGGGATTGACAGCTTCTCCTGGGGATAAAGGGCTGGGGTATTGAGTAGATACGATTATAATCTAAGGATACCGGTGATGCTGACACTATCACGTACACGCACTCTTAGGCCACATTAACAGGATGATAATAATCCAGCTCGTGGTAGGCAGTGGTCTGCCTGTCTCCTGTGTGTGTGTGTGTGTGTGTGTGGGTGTGTGTGTTTGACAGGCAGAGTGGACAGTGAGAGAGAGAGAGGCAGAGAGAAAGGTCTTCCTTTTGCCGGTGGTTCACCCTCCAATGGCCGCCACAGCCAGCGCACTGCGCTGATCCGAAGGCAGGAGCCAGGTACTTATCCTGGTCTCCCATGGGGTGCAGGGCCCAAGCACTTGGGCCATCCTCCACTGCCCTCCCGGGCCACAGCAGAGAGCTGGCCTGGAAGAGGGGCAACCGGGACAGAATCCAGCGCCCTGACCTGGACTAGAACCCGGGGTGCCGGCGCCGCAAGGCGGAGTAAGATTAGCTTAGTGAGCCGTGGCGCTGGCTCCAGTGTTTTTCAACAGCTCGAGGAGTGAGCTCAGCCCTGGCTGTCCCATGTGGGTGTCGTCAACACTGAGGGCATGTGGAAGGCAGCTACTAGGGTGATGGTTCTCCTGTGACCTGAAAAGGAAGTGGAAAGTCTTGGCCCAGATGAAATTCAGCTGAGATGAGGTAGCATCTGTAGGCATGCTAGTGGGTGTCAATCAAAGGGGATTCTGTATTCAATAAAGTTCAACTACTTTGTCTCATGAACCATAAGAAGAAATGTCTACTTAATGAAAAGGTGATGATTCCAAGCGGGAATTCTCCAACAGTGAAGCAGCCAGCCTGTGCGTTTGAACAAAAGGTGAACAACTTACAAAGCTGGGCAGCCGACACTCTCCCATAGGACAGGCGGTTAGGGTTGCTAGGTGTTTCCCGAAAAGCCGGACATCCCGTGGGCTTCAGAACATATAAATATTCTTCATTTATTTGTATCAGCTACACAGACGATGTGAAAGGCGGGCAATGGAGAGATCCAACGACAGCTCCGCCTATGGCTTCCTCCTGGTGGGCTTCTCCGGCCGCCCCAAGCTGGAGACGGCGCTCTTCATAGTCAACCTCACTCTGTACTCAGTGGCCGTGCTGGGGAACTGCACCATCATCCTCGTGTGTGTCCTCGACCCGCGACTCCACACCCCAATGTACTTCTTCCTGGCAAACCTGTCTTTCCTCGACCTCTGCTTCAGCACCAGCTGCATCCCCCAGATGCTGGCCAACCTCTGGGGCCCGGACAAGACCATCAGCTACGGCGGCTGCAGCGTCCAGCTGTTCGCCTTCCTCTCCGTGGGCGGGGTCGAGTGCATCCTCCTGGCCGTCATGGCCTACGACCGCTACGCGGCAGTGTGCAGGCCCCTGCACTACACCGCCGTCATGCACCCGCAGCTGTGCCTGCGGCTGGTGGCTGCGGCCTGGGGCAGCGGCCTGCTCAACGCCATCGTCATGTCGCCGCTGACGATGACCCTCCCCAGGTGCGGCCGCCGCCGAGTCAACCACTTCCTGTGCGAGATGCCCGCGCTCATCAAGATGGCTTGCGTGGACGCGCGCGCGGTGGAGATGCTGGCCTTCGCCTTTGCCATCCTCATCGTCCTGCTGCCCCTCAGCCTCATCCTGGTCTCCTACGGCTACATCGCCGCGGCGGTGCGGCGCATCAAGTCGGCTGCCGGGAGGAGGAAGGCCTTGAACACCTGCAGCTCCCACCTCACCGTGGTCTCCCTGTTCTACGGGAGCATCATCTACATGTACATGCAGCCCGGAAACAGCTCTTCCCAGGACCAAGGCAAGTTCCTCACCCTCTTCTACAACCTGGTGACCCCCATGCTGAACCCGCTCATCTACACGCTCAGGAACAAGGAGGTGAAGGGCGCCCTGAAGAAGGTCCTGGGGAGGCGGTGACCACGGCAGAGATGCCAGGCGTCCTGGGGAGGCGGTGACCACGGCAGACATCCCAGGCAAGTACTTGCCTCAAACACATTTACTTCACGCTCCTGATAAATCGAGGAATCACACGCTCTTACATTTTTTTTTTTAAGATTTATTTTATTTATTTGAAAGGCAGAGTTAGAAACATGGGGAGAGGCAGAGGGACAGATCTTCACTCCTTGGTGCACTCCCCAAATGGCCACAACAGCCAGGACTGGGCCAGGCCAAAGCTAGGAGCCAGGGGCTTCATCTTGGTCTCCCTCATGGGTGCAGGGACCAAGCACTTGCGCCATTTTTTTCTGCTACTTTCCCAGGTGCATTAGCAGGGAGCAGCTGAGGCTCAAACCATCACCCATATTGATGCTGGCGTTGGAGACAGTGGCAGCTTCACTCGCTGTGCCATGTCGCCAGCCACGTCGCCAGCCAATTTTTTTTAATATGGATAAATACACTGAAGGAAGCTTAAGTCAATATGAATCACCCATAGATACACATGATATTGAAAAATCTTAGCAAAGCAATGTTTCTTGAAAACAATTAAGTCCCAGAAGAAAGATGAGATGACTCTCACACAGATATAAATAAATAGGTACTGAAGATTGTATCCAACTTAATCAGTAAGGAACCAGGCAGGCATAATAATCATTTCCAAAAAAAGTCAAAAATGCATAAATTTATATATAAGGAGTGCATGAGTGTTGACACCCATGTGCAAAGGGAGGCAAAACATGCCTCTTCCACTTGATCCGGTCTCCTACAGGACAGTCAGACAAGGCTTTGCATGGCTGTCAGTCACCAAGGACTTCAAAGTTGTGAATAGCTGCCACAGAAGCAGAGCTACAGCCTGGAGGGGTGTCCTCTGGGCCCTGGACCATACATGTGTTTCCAGTGACACATGGCTTCCCTCCTAGCTAAACCATTTATCTCATGCATGTTGTAATACCAAGTGCGTCGTCTCAGGCTGCTCAATAAAAGGATCTAAGTATTTTCATCCTGATTTTGTTCACATGGTGAAACTATTGTGTACAGAATCCATGTAAATCAACCCAGGTCACATAGCAAAAACATGGTTTCCTTTACCTTTCTTTATTTACTTTTAAAGATTTATTTACTTATTTGAAAGGCAGAGTTGCAGAGACATAAAGAGAAAGCTTCCATCTGCTGGTTCATCACCCGTCCCCCACAAATGGCTGCAAAAATTGGGACTAGACCTGAGAAAGGCCAGGAGCCTGGAGTTCCCTCCAGGTCTCCCACAGGGGTGACATGGGCCCAAGTACATGAGCCATCTTCTGATGCTTTCCAAGGCACAACAGCAGGCAGCTGGATTGGAAGTGAAGGAACTGGGACTCTGACCAGCAACCATATGGGATGCCAGCATTGCAGGTGGTGGCTTAACCCACTGAGTCACAATGCCAGTCCCCAAAAGTGGTTTTTAATCAAATCACGTGGTTTTCACTACAGAGTGCACCAAGCATACACAGGTCGCCAATAATCCGCCCAGCCATGTTTTCTCCATCTGCTTATACAACCCTTCCAATGGGGTGTGCCCCAGATCAGGTGCACCACACTGGCTATTAGCACCAGGACATCACCCCTTGCCACACTGTCCCATGCAAATGTCCTGTTCTGAAAGCTTGAATTCAACTTATTTGTAAAACTGTCTGGACTCTTGGATTTTAGAATATTTTATCACATCTTTTAATGTGTGGAACTTTTATACACTGAAATGACAGTTTTTGTGGTTTGTATTACATAAAGGTATTTCAAAAGGATCGTTAAAAATAAGAGAGATAAAGAGACAGAGACCTCCCATCCAGTGGTCACTCCCCAAATGCCCCAGCCTGGAATGCGGGAGGCCAAAGCTGGGAGGCAGAAGTAACTCAGGTCTCTCGCTTGGGTGGCAGGGAATCAAATACCTGACCCATCACCTTCAGCCTCTTGGGTTGTGTACAGCAGGAAGCTGGCATCAGGAGTGCAGCTGGGGATCAAGCCCAGGCATTCTGCTGATAGGCAAGGCAGACATCCCAAGTGACATCTTAACTACCATGCCAAAAGCCAGCCCCTGTGTGAACTCTTTGATGTCCTTGTATCGACAGAGTGCAAACGTAAGTTCTTGAGGGTGGGGTCATTTTTCTTCATCTTTTTAGCAATCCAGATATCATTAATAAATCATTAATAAAGAGCCTTGTAGAGATAAGTGATCAAGAACAGCTTAAGGTGATGACTAATTATATCCAGAAAAATTCCCCCATTTTAAATTAGTGTTACTATTTTTTTTTAAGATTTACTTATTTGAAAAGCAGAGTTAAGAGAGACAGAGAGAGAGAGAGAGAGAGAGAGATCTTCTGTCTGCTGGTTCCCTCCCCAGGGGGCAGCAAAGGCCAAGCCTGGGCCAGCATGAAGCCAGGAGCCAGGAGCTTCGTCCGGGTCTCCTATGTGGGTGGCAGGGAACCACTTGACCATATGCCACTGCTTTTCCCAGGTCATTACTGGGGAGCTGGATCAAAAGTGGAGCACAAACCATGATATTATATGGGATGCGGGCATCGCAGGCAGCTTTATCCACTGTGCCACAGTGCTGGCCCCGATACTATCTAATTCTACCTTTGTTCTTCAAAATTACTAGGAAGTCTATCACAATATGCTATTTCAGTTTAACTCTTCTGTCAGACTTGTTATGCGTTTCTTTCTCAGTTCATTTCAAACCCTGAGGAGTCTCTCTCCATGGCTGTCAAAAGCCATCCCAGAATTTTTGGAACAGAACTATCCCCACCCCTTAAAGGTGCATCATTTGTTTGAAGGCACCAGGGTGGAGAGGTGGTCTCGTGGAGAGGCTGGAAGACAGTCTCCCAGCTCTTCAGACCTCTCAGATCTGCACAGAAGGACATTCCTCGGCCCCTATTTACATGGTTCTCTTGCATGTGCTGCCCTTAGCCCCCAGTTCTTTAGTCTTCATTTGGTACTCACTTCTCATTGTTCCCGAGTCATTAAAACCAGTGAAAAGAATTTCCAAAAGAACACAGTCTGTTACAGAAGTTTTGCCTGCAGAATACATGGGTATTCAAAGGTCTGAAATCACAGGCACTTCTGGGCTAGGTCATCCCCTCCCTGAGCTGGGTAACCATCCCAAGTAGACCCTGGTGGGGAGGCCCAAAGTCAGCTGCTTAACACGGGGACCAGCTGTGCCTGTTTACTCCTCTGCTATTTACTGCTGTGTGCTCCTGCTGCTGGCCTCTTCCCTGTGTGCGACCTTCCTGGAATTAATGAACAGCACCTGTGAGCCTTCTTGGGCTTCAGGCGCCCCTAGTGCGACAACGGGCACAGTACGCGGGCATTTCCCAAGACTTCCCCATTGCAGAAGCTGCTGGGATGGACAAGGACTGTGGAAGCGGAGGGAATGTCAGATCCAGGAAATCCCAGGCGGGACACTGGCACAGTGCTTTCAGGTCGGCTGAACGGCTGGGGGCCACCGCATGAGTACAGGGGACACCCTGAAAACACACGCCAGCAGGTCTGTTAGAAACCCTGTGGGCTGTAGTGAACCCGATGAAGGATTCAGAGAGGGCCGGTTTGGAACTCTATAGATGGTAGAAGAAAAAGGCCTATTAAAACAGTCTGGCACCAGTGCTGTGGCGTAGCGGGTAAAGTCGCCTGCAGTGCCAGCATCCCGTGTGGGCTACAGTTCGAGTCCCAGCTGCTTCACTTCCAATCCAGCTATGGCTTGGGAAAGCAGTGGAAGATGGCCCAAGTTCTTTGGCCCCTGCACCCACGTGGGAGACCCCGAAGAAGCTCCAGGCTCCTAGTTTCGGATCAGCCCAGCTCTGGCTGTTGCGGCCATTTTAGGGGAGTGAACCAGCGGATGGAAGATTCTCTTTCTGTCTCTTTCTGTCTACCTCACTCTATAACTCTGCCTTTCAAATAAATAAATGAATCTAAAAAACAAAACAAAACAAAACAAAAAACAGAAACAAAGACTAAGGCAGTCACCCCTGTTTTGAGAAAGTGAAGGTGGAGTGACAGGCTCGCCGTACTGGGGTGGATAAAGATTTGCTATGTGGACATTTGAAACAGACTAAGGGGAGGGGGGCATGGGATTTATAGGAATGATTTTGCAGGACCCAAGGCGTTATTTCTACAGCTGGAATGCAGGTCAGGGTACTACAATCTGCCACTACCCAATGCTATGGGATGCTGTGTTCCATTTTTCTCCCCACTGGTGGGGAACATAGCTGGTTTAGGAGAAACGGATCTCCAGAGACAGCCAGTAGAGGTGTGTGGAAGGCAAATAAACAACCCAGCTCGGTGCTTCTGGGCTTACGGCAACAGCTACCTGGAGACGGAAGATTCCAACTGTGGAGTTCAGTTATGAGTAATTAATTCAAACCCTAAGTTAGCTTAGATTAAGTACATTTGGAGTGAAGACTTAATAGTGTGTAGTATGTTAAGATTAAGTGATATAAAATATGGGCAACGTATTAAAGTCAAGCTAAGTCTTGGTCTCAGGAGCTTTTAGGACCTGTTGCGAGAACCACCATTCCTCCATGACAGGCTTTATTTTAAGCCAGAAAAAAAAAAAAAAAAAAAAAAAGACAGGCCTAAAGGGTAAGGGAGTGAAACTACTCCTGGACTTTAGATTCTTCCGCATTCCTGTGTGACGCCTCGCTCAAATGCACCAATGAAATACATAAAGAATAAGGAGCTTGCCTACGTGTGTAGTGACATATGTACTTGTTTACTCGAGTGCATAAAAATGCTGGGAGGGAGAGGGATGGGGCTTCTTGCCTCAGCACTGCGTTAAGTCGTATGTGCCAGTGAAGTAGGCAGGCATACAGGTTAAAATTGATCAGATTTGTGAACTGGAAGACCACGCCCCTGTGTGGCCTCATTCCCCTACCTGGCCACACCGGGGTGCCCACCAGCCAATCAGGTTAATTAACCACTCCCCTTTGGAGTGGGTTAAAAGCCTAGGGCACAGTGTGCCCAGGGCCTGCTCTTCTTCCCTGGCCTCTTGCCAGGACAGGGCTTGCTGTAGCCCTGCGCCTCCAGGGCGCATGGCCTTTGGGCCAAGTGCTCTAGGCTTCCTGGCCTAGATGCTCATCCATGTGGCTGGTTCCTGGTGCTCGGTATGAACCCCTATTCACCTCTCTCCCCTAAATAAAGCTCTCACTCTCTTATGCACCTTTCTTACTAAATAAAAGCTTAAAACGTACCATGCTGCCTCGTTTATCTGTGCCAGTATTTAGAATTCTTCTCTAAATACTAGGCAAGAACCCTCTCGGGCTTATTAATATCGGGGATTTGGTAATAAGCCTGTGGTGAAATCGTAAGGCACCCCAAATTCCGGTAGCACATGTGACATCCCGGATAGCATTTCTAGGGAACTTGAAGGGGTCACAATTTAGTGTAGATTTTAGGGGGTCTTTTCCGATTTCAC